TAGCGACTTAGGGTTTCGACCACTATCACTTTTGTCATTTGGGATGGAGGATTTGTGGTTCGACCATGTCTTCTAGCGAGGGTTTCGACCACCATCACACACGATGACATATTTTTGGTTCGACATTCCAACGAGAATGACGGTGATTTCCGGAGGTAAGAGAGGAACAGGAAGAAGGTTTGAGGATGTAGGTTCGATTGAACAGATTTAGGTTCGATTTTATTTTGGGATACCTTCATCTTCATCTTTGCCGATCTTCTCTCATTTTCTCCATATCTGTTAAGCAAAAAATAAACAAGGGACAAATCCATTTTTAAACCACAATATAATTATATATTGTTTTTGTTTGAAAAAAAAAGTAATGGTGTTTTTTGTTTGATTCCATAAAAAAGAAAGAATGTAAATGTAAATGGAAAAAATATATGTTCAATGTTCATCAATTGGAGAGAGAGAGAGAGAGAGAGAGAGAGAGAGAGAGAGAGAGAGAGAGAGAGAGAGAGAGAGAGAGAGAGAGAGAGAGAGAGGAGAGAGAGAGAGAGATTTTATTTTTGTTTTATTTTTAATTGTTTTTTAATTGTTGTAATAAAAGAAAAATGGAAAATAAAATAATAAAGGGCAAACCTTCATTATAAAAAAATTCATAGAAAATTGTACTAAACTCGCAACAAAATGAAACTATTAGACCATCCTTGCGAGCCAAACCCATTTTGGACCAAAATTGCTAGTTTTGACATAACACAGGGACTATTCTTGCAATTTTGTCTTATGAAAATTGGAAGTAAGAGTGATGAAAAGGAGCTACGTTTGATCCTCTAGGTGCACGCTTTTAGCTCCATCACAAATGCATCTAACTGACTTTTTATTTATTTTTTCTTTCCATGCCCTTTTTTTAAAGGATTAAGAATTAAAATGTATTTTTCAAATAACAAATAATTATTTCAAATACTTCTTATTCTAATAAAAGAATAGTTTTATTCTCATTTTGCAATGTGTCACCTTTTTAGGCATCCTAATTAATCTCATGTCACTTGTCAACCTATTGATCATCTATTTTAAATTTCAAAATTTAAATTATCCACTCTAATTACATTAAATTAATAACATTTGAACAAAAATTAAAATAAAATTAATACAGAATATAAAGTGATATAATTTTACGTATTTATTTAAATCAACGATTATAATTTTATATAACTAAAAAAATATCTCTTAATTAATAATTTATTTATAATAGTTTATTTAAAATAATTGATTAATAATTTTAAGTTTTTACTATGAAAATTTAATTAATTTTGTAACCATGGTTCCCATGGGTTATAAACTAGTAATTATCATAAACTATAGAAGTTAATAACTTACAAGTTGAAGACTTGCTTAGAAACCTTCTCTAGGACATTACATCAAACACATGGGGTGCTTATTCCACCATAGTAAAACCATAATTCCTTTTTTTTATGTAAGTTGAGGAAAATGAATAAACTTGACCTGATGTGGAGTAAAGAAAAGAAACAATAAAAAACAATCAAATTTATTGGAAAGCTAAGTGACTTGAAGTCACGAAGAAAAAATAAAATCGTTTTGAATAAAAATATTACAGAAGACACAGACTTCTTATTTAAGATTAAGATGTGAGATTGGATAATGATTTCTACTCTTTTACCTGAGAAAATGAAGACCGACAAAGGAGGGTGGTCGCTTGACAACAATGGTGGCGACATTAGGGTTTTTTGATAGAAGTGCCAACGAGACTTCTTGTATTCTGCTGTATTACGACTCCTTTTTTTCAACCGGGGATGCCCCGTGAAGGGTTTGTGGGTTACATGGGATTTTCCTATCGGAGTAGAGAAATCGAGAATTAGGGATTTAGAGAGCAAGAGGTGGAAAACATCGATGGAGAGAAGGTACCGACGGAGGGATGAATAAACTGATATGTGATTTAAGGGGGTAGGGTTATAGAGATGGTAACGTGAATAAAAGGGGATATCCCTTTAATTTGATTAATTAACATAATTAATAGGTAATATTACTTTTTACCCTTATTCCCAGTTTTGAAATGATTAATCTATATTTTTATTTCCACATCCACACAATAGATAGTTAGAATACATGAACCTAAGTCTCAATCTCTCTCTCTCTCTCTCTCTCTCTCTCTCTCTCTATATATATATATATATATATATATATATATATACACACACACACACACACACACACACACACACACACACACACACAAAGAGTATTTACAAGTGATTATTTGTAACGACCCAAAATAGTAATAAAATTTTCTTTTAAAAAGCTTATCAAATCATTCATTAATTGTTCAGAATCAACACCAAGTCCTAATACCCAAAACATCAGCGTACAAATATATCAAATGCGGAAATCATGAGGGGAGGATGCTGTGTTATCACGTCGGGCCCTTCCTTTTTGAAATGGAAGTACTTGAAACCATAAACATAAACTGTAAGCATAAATCTTAGTGAGTTCGCCCAAAGTACCACATATCACATATAAAAAATAAATGTTATGGGCATAATCATAGTCATATAATCATTTCCTGCTATATGCCAAACGATGGTCTTTCCGTTCAGTGTCGAGGGCCAAATCTCAGTCTTGCATACAAGTGCTGAGGGCCAGATCCTGATCTTTCATATAACTGCTAGGGGCCAGATCCTGGTCTTTCATACAAATTCAAGGGGCAAGATCCTGGTCTTTCATATAATTATCACAAGGCCAGATCCTAGTCTTTCATACAAATTCAAGGACCAGAAAAATCCCGCTCTGACTAAAAAAATAAAGCCCCGATTAATAATTGGGAGATAACCCATAACTGAAACTCTACTTTATTTGTCTAATATCTAAGGTAAAAGGGTCATTTTATCCTTTTCATTTAAGCCCAAACAAAATCCTAGGCCCAACCTGAAAGATCATCCAAAGTCCAACATGGGCCCAAATTCAAAAGTGATCCATTACCATGAAAGTCTATAGTCCAATCCCAACAAGCAAATCCCAACGATTCAAGGCTCAAAATGACCAAGAGATGGAACTGGGTCGTACGTCCTGCGTACCAACTGGTACGCCCCGCGTACTCAACCGATACTGGAACAGATCGCGGCTGAGGTGTACTATGTGCAACGTACGCGCCCTATAAGAACACTTATAATAAGGTCTAAATGCCTCAAGACTCTACGTCCAAATTTCAGATTTGAGCTTAATAAGACCCTAAGTGTAACACTAAAAAAATCACCATAAATTTAGAATTTTCAAAACCAACCATGAATCAATATGGTTTACAAAAAGAGTCATTGTTTCCAAAGCATTATTTTAAATCAAAGTTTTCCTAAGACCCGAAGACATAAAAATAGGAAGCTGTGTATGATCATGCCTTCGCCTTCCTACTATCCTCGGAAGTACCTGAAACCATAAAGTAAAACTTTAAGCCAAAGCTTGGATAGTTCCCCTAAAGTACCACCACACAAACATATAACCAGACAAATCACGGGTCCACAACCTCCAGGTTGGATTACCCTCGGTCGACAACCTTTCGGTTGAAATACACCGGCCCACAACCTTTCGGTTGGATTGCCAATACATATTGGGTCCACAACCTCGCGGTTGGATTACCCCCGACCCACAACATTTCAGTTGGAATGCCAGCACAAAGCAGTAAAGTCTCGACCCCATCATATCATGTCGAGATATACATTGCATTTAACACATATCTAGCAACAGATGAACATAAGACCAGTCAGCAGACAAACAGATAAATCTACAGAATACTACAACATAATGACATCCTATATACCATGATACATAATCTAGTGGGCCAACATTGGTGCATTCGACCTACAAGCACAGTGAGGAAAACTCACCTCTTAGTCGGAATGCAAACTGAATAAAAATCCGCTCTAAAAATCAGCTCAACGATCACCTAACCAAAACCAAGAACCTAATCTTTAATTAAAAGCTCAAACACCCAAAATACCCCTAGGTCAACTTGGTTAAAACTCTGGTCAAAGGTCAAAGTCAGCAAGCCAACCCAGCCGAGTCAATTCAGCCGAGTCAGCTTAGGCCTCGTACGCGGGGGGTACTCGAGCCTTGATCGAGATCGGGCAATTGACCTCGTACGCTCGGCGTACGCAGAGCCCAACACTAAAAACCTAACTTGATCATACCTTTTTTACACCATAAATCTTGCATGAGGACAAACCAAGATCCAACCTTACATTTTTATGACTTAAAATGCCCTGAAATGTATAAAAGGGCGGCTTAAAGGTTTTGGAGTACCTCATACTCACAAAGACCTAGATTTTGGGACAAAAGAGAAGAAAATATAAGCTTAACCAAGATCTAGAACAAAATGAGCCAAGTTTGGAGTTTTATACCTCCAAATAGTGCACAATGAAGAGAAGATGTTGGATCCAAAGTCTTGAGAGCAAAGCCTGCTCCTTGAAGATCCTTCTTCACAAACAAGAAAGCTCACAACTCACTCCAAAAGCTCAAAATGCTCAAAATAGACTAGGGTTTGCAAGGAGGGTCGATCTTGGGGTGGAGGCTGATAAAGGGAAAGGTCTTGGGGCTATAATGGTGCTTAAATAGTGCACAAACCCTAAATATTAGGGTTTTGGTCTAAACCGCATACGCCCTATGTACTAGCATACATGCAACGTACTGATATGGGACTAGGTACGTCCAGCGTACCAAAGTGTACGCCCAACGTACACAAGCTGCACCTAAAAATCACGAAATTGCCATTGGGGACCCATCTTGCAAACAATTCATAACTCAAGGGTTAAAAGCAAATACCTGGAAAATTAGATGTTACATTATTCATATATAATTATGGCGGTTGGGAGCGGTGGCCGTGGCAGTGGTGGTGATGGTAGTGACGGTGGTGGTGTCGCTGGGTGGATGTGTTGATGGCAGTGGTGAAGGTGGTGGCAGATGTTTTGGTGGAAGGAGTGGTTTGATCTTTGTGTAAGAAATTAATTAGAAAAATGGTTTCTATATTTAGTGAAAAGACTTTGTACAATTTTTATTATTATTGGAAACCGTCCATTAAAATTTTCGTATGTTGATAAGTTTGGTCTCTATGTAGAAAATAAATTATTGAAACTGTCACCGTAATTTACGAAAACGTTCATGTGTAGATTTTTTTACCGAAATTGTTCATATATTGAAATTAATTACAAAAATAGTTTATAACTAATAGAAAATTTACAAATTACATCTCTAGGAAAAAAAATAATATAGCTATCCCTACTTTAGATAATCAATTTTAAATATTTATTTTCCCTAACGACGGGCACTATTTATGAATGAAAACATATTCAAGACTTAAGAGCCTAATTCAAATATATAGCAATTTTAATTTTATAGTATTCAACTCCCTCCAAGTGACAACAAACTCATATCGCTTTCTTTACCTTTGAAAAATTCCCCAAAAAAGCAAGAAGTGTCAAATGATACATTACATTAGTCCAAGGGCCTGAAAGAAACTTTTGTATTTATTACTTTGAAAACTGAAGCTAAATTATGTCAGCTACGCAACAGACTCCATAAATAGCTGCAACTAGAGAAAACTCAGGTTCTACCGTTCTACTACTTCTCAGTTTGTTAAAAGTCTCCTCTTCATTCGCTCTCAACAAATCTGTATATATGTTAATTTTCTATGTATAGATCTATTTGATTTATATCTAACGATGACGAATCAGTTCGAGAATTTGATCGAGTCGATAAAGTCAAAGGTGAAGGCACTGAAAAGGAAGAAATCGAAGAAGGTGTACGTGAAGATGGACAAGACTAACAGTGTTAGAGTTGAGATCCGAAGTCGTCATGCTCGTAAACTCATCGATAAAACTCTGAAAGCCGCTGATAAACCTGGCAAGCGTCCTGTCTGATTTTGATTTTGATTTTTCTCCTTTGTTTGTATAATTTCTTATTCACCGATTATCGTGATGCGATAAGTTAGAAGTTTCAGTTCTTTCCATTGCTTTGTCTATGTAAAACTGTTGCAAGTTTTATGAAGAAAAAAAAAAATTAATAGATTAGAATTACTATTTTGTCGGCAACAAAGTACAGTTGTTTCATTTAGTAAATTATAACTTTCTTTTAATTTGTCACATTTTCATCTTAATTAATTGTTTAGTCACATATTTGTTTTTGTGAATGTATACAATAAATAATACCTTTGACTTATATATATATATATATATATATATATATATATATATATATATATATATATAGAGGGAAATGATCAAATGAGAACACCTAAAAGGTTGAGAACGCGAGATCACTTCTGGACCAAGGGTATATTAGTAATTGTTTATTTATTTTAAATAAAATCAAATTAAATTCAAATCTTAATTTCCTAAAATTTAGTGATAATGATTATCTACCTAAAATAAAATATGAACCAATTTTTTTATTTCTTTTATTAATGGATATTAAAGATAATTTATATTATTTTTTTTTGTCAAATAAAAAATCCTTTTTTTTTTCTAATTTATTATTCATCAAAATAATTTCAATCATATATGAATAAAACATTTGTAATTATAAAAATATATGTTTGTAATCCTAAATAATAAATCATAATTTAGAGATAACATTTATAAATGAATAAAAATAAATTACTAATCATATATGAATATGCTAACAAATAAAAAAAAATCAACACATTAAAAATTATATTCATAAAATAAAATTTTCAAAGATTGAGTTTATACATTTATATATTTATATTCATAAAAGAATATCCCAAAGACTAGTTTGATACATTTATACATAATTATATTCAACAATGATTAAACCACTTCAAATGAAAAAAAAAATTGCAAAATTCATCCCTATATCAGCCATTTTCTTGAATTGGTCACAATCTCTTCCTTCTCTTTGAATCAAATGGCTCGCAAGCTTGTGTAACGAGCAGGAGCAGACACGGAATCTAAAGAATTCTAGCATTCCTTTTTCTTTGATTAATATCTACAAAAATAACAATAACATGTAAAGACAATAAAAATACCAACAAAATATTAAAATGAATGATTAGTAGAAAAACATATGTTGTTATAATCATAAATGATTAAGATGAGGGCATGATTGTGTTTTTGCATCTCTTTCAAATAGTAAGCTTGTAAACCATACGTAGCACAAGTCCCGTATGAATATGATTTGTATAAATTGTGATAAGTAACTGAATTTTAGGGTTCAAATGTTGGGATTTCAGATTCAGGGCCATGTGTGAGCTGGTAAACCAAACATGATAATATACTCCGATAAGGATCATTCCGTCTTTTCTCTTTTAGATAAGATAGACACCTTTCTACCTCCGACTTCACCTCTACATACAACTCATGTGCCTTGTCCCTATTCCTTAGCTCCTGTTGTCTCCCTGCAAACCAACGACCATTCGGAAAAAAAAATGTAAATAATTTCCTTATAAACATAACATAACATCACATCACATACCTTTGTTTCAATTGGGTTTCCAAAAACATAATAAAATCTCCCAGGTAGTTTGGGACGCATCACTGGAAAGTGTACATCTTGGTTTGCTACTTCACCTTCAACGTTACTTCTGTAGTAGTAGCATCACTCATCAGTCATCACATTAAAGAATATATAGAATCATTTCAAGAAACTAACAAATAAAAAGTATGATAGATATTTATGTATAGTTGGATACCTAAGCTGCACGACCTCATCAGTTAATTCATGTATAAATTGTCTGAGATATGGAATCTTCATTTGGTCCTCATAGTCAAAAATCAACTGAACAAACCAAATTCCCATAAGTTGTGTTAAACAATAGAATATGTGAGGTGAGCAAATTCACAAAAAAAAGTCCACGTACCTCACCAATATCATCTTCTCCAACAACACCAAAAGGTATGATTTTGGCTCCAAACATAGCAGCCATCCTCACAAACTCAGACTGGTCTGGCCAGAAAAACATATGTTGTTATAATCATAAATGATTATTATCAGCGTCTTTTAATCATCTGTACAACCATTTTTATAATCATAAGTGATTATAGCGAACACACCTGACTATGTTGATTAAATTTATTGACCACTGTAGTGAAGGATATCTGATTGCTAGAATTTGACCTACGAACACAATAGAAGGAAGAATCAAAACTTACCAATTGTTGATTTATAGCTTCAATTTCATAGGAAATCCTGTCAAATTTCCCCCCTCTTCCCGTCAATCCCTTTCTCTCGCTCGTCTGTATTCCCTTCCTCCTAATGCACGCCACAAAGCACACAATCCCAAAATACGATTCATATGGATCGACTCTTAATCGGACTTGATGGGCATGGGAAGAAAATTCATGAACGCAGCCTCGTGAGACCCGATCGACGCATTCATGGGCTGCCCGAGTGCCTGTGACAACCATTAATTTTTGGCCAAGTCAAAGTCACCCAAAGTCAACGAGTCAAACCGGTCAACTCATCTAACCCTTGTACATTAGGGTTTCCATTATGTTTCTTATTGAACAACTCACAATCTTAATACAAAGTATCACTTAGAGTTTTCACGTGTTCGGAAATTCTAAACCCTAATCAGGGCAAGTGATGAAACTACTCGATAAAACATTATTCCTTAACCCTCAGGGGCATATAACAATCATAACGAGACTTAACGGGATGTACAAACCTTGCGTTGCGAAGCCAAACACTCAAAAAGGTCACAAAAGAAGTCTCTCATAATCTCTTCCACTCTAACTCTCCCAAAACTCTCTAAGTAGGAGAAATCGCTACAAGTGTGTGAAATCTCTCCCAAATCTCTCTCTGTATGAGAAATCTCTCCAAGAATGTCAAATCTCTCCCAAATCTCTCTAAGTATGTGAAATCTCTCCCAAATCTCTCTCTGTATGAGAAATCTCTCCAAGTATGTGAAATCTCTCCCAAATCTCTCTCTGTATGAGAAATCTCTCCAAGAATGTCAAATCTCTCCCAAATCTCTTTCTGTAGGAGAAATCTCTCCAAGAATGTCAAATCTCTCCCAAATCTCTCTAAGTATGCCAAATCTCTCCAAGTATGACAAATCTCTCCCAAATCTCTCTCAAAATCTCTCTCAACTTTTTATAATCACTCGGGGCATCCCGACCCTCGAATTTGACGAAAACAGCTCGAAAACGGAAGTCTACGTGAAAAACAGCCTTAAGGAGCCGAAACTCCTCTTAGGAACCGAAACTCCTCTTAGGAGCCGAACCTCCTGAGAACCGAAACCCTCTCAACCGAAATGGACCGAGCGGTCGGTTATTTTCGGTCCCTGACTGACTAATCAGAACCGAGACCTGACTTTCGGCTCTACCCTTCTTACCTTCGGTCCGAGGACCTGACCTTCGGTCCGAGGACTTGACCTTTGGTCCGAGATGCTAACCCTCGGTCCCTTCTGATGAGCATGCCTGCGAGACCTCTCGGTTCCCATGCACAACCGAGCCTCACCTTCGGTCCGAGAGGCGACCCGCGCAGCCGAACCTTCTCTCCTCGGTTCTTCTCTCCTACTTCGGTTCTAAGGACTAGGACCGAACCTCCGCCCCAAATTTCGGAATTTGGCAGTTTTTGCCCGGGGTTTTCAAATATTTTTAGCGTTTTGAGCCCGTTTTTCGAGATTTTAATGCGGGATTTTCACCCAAACTCGTATTTTAACATAATAAACCCCAAATATTCATATTTTAATTATATTTTGGGGAAAATCCTTGCCTAAGAATAAAATCTAGTAGGTAAGATTTATGGGTGGAGTTTTGACTTTGCCTTAGTGTATGACACAAGCAACCTCCCCATACCTCCATAGTACAACCCCTTGTCCCTCCCACCATACTCAGTCATTCCATAGTACTTTTCCCACCATTTTTCAGCCACACATTTGGTCAAGAGCTGGAAAACTCTCCTCTCTCCTCACATTACTCCATTTTCCACCAAGTGACAACTTCATTCTCTCTCACTTCCTCTCTCTAGATTTCGAGATTTAAGGATTGTCTTCAAGCTTTCCCTCTACATTTGATCTTCAAATCTTCAAGCATCTCCCAAGTGTTCTTGAGTTGAACACTTATTTCCTCCATCATCCATCTACTGAAATCACTCAAGGTGAGTTCATACCCCTATCTTTTCATGTTTTTCTTAAGTTTTAAGGGGGGGGGGGGGGGGGGGAATACAAGTTAAAACACCAAGAACTCAACTAAACTCATTTAACAGCCTTCATCAGAAAAGTTCAACTCCATTCACGGACTATTTTGGTTAACTTAAACATTTTAGTTTTCAAAACTGTATTAGGTGCAAATAGTTCAGGTTCATACCTTTAAAATGACTACTTGCACATCACCATACGATTTTTCTACGATTTATGGTATTTTTACAAAACTGCCTATCATTTCAAAAACAAATTCGGACCAGTCTGTGAATATGAACATTTTAACACAAGTTAAAGACTTCCAAAAATCATAATAAAAATTATGAACAAACTAGACACATTTTATGAACTCTCAGAATTTACGGATTCAGTTTTCGACTTCGTATGAGTTTTCTATGATTTTTCTAAAACAGTGCAGAACGGTTAAAAACTAGTTAACAACTTATAACTTTCATAACACTTTGTATTATATTGAGCAAAGTGTATAAAAATAAGTTCTAAATATTGAATGTATTTTCTTGTTAGTTTATCATCATAAACTGAAATTTAGTCATTCATGATAAGGTTTACTCATTCATTTCGACTACTTATAATAAACTTCAATAAGCATAGTTTATGGATTTTTACTACATGAAAAAGGTTTTACTCTCAAAACAAATGAGTTTTTCATATCTTTATGTAATAAACTATAATAGTAATAGTTTAAGGATTTCATATCACTAATTTATTCAGAAAATGTGATTTTACTTCCTTCATGGAAGAGGTTTTAATATCAAACTGTGTGTAAACTAGTTAACTTAGGTTGTGAGGCAATTCTCTCCCCGTACGTTCGAGTACGGGATCCCAATTCCTATAAGTTATAACCAGAGTCTCTTGTAGGGAAAGCGTGATAATTGTGTATAGATCTATATTGGGTTTGACACCCCACACCTTGCTGCTAGCTACAGTGGGACCTGCAGGTCTACGGGTGACAAGAGTCATAGTATCTTAACGTCTGAAAAACGTTGTGCAGGTTATTTTTCGTCATAGTATGGTTATAGCGACTCACATAGGGTTAACAATCTCTTCAAGTTTACATGGAAACTTCTACTTTAAAAGGGGTTTTACTTCTAAACTAAACGAGTTATGCCGATTTAAAACCACTTTTATATCTTAAGTATGGAAAATACTTGTTTATTTCCGGTCCTGGGATTTAGGACCACATAACTTTTATAAGGAAAATATAGGATTTTCTTTGGATCACATCTCTGTTAAAACTATATTTCATAGAATTGTTAGACTTCAGCTCTTATTGCTAAGTGTATATGCTAGAGTTATAGAAGAATCTAGTCATAATCGACTTAGAATTGGTGGGCCCGCCTTACTTCCTGTTCCTTGTTTGGTTGTGGACCTAGGGCAGACCCATTATATTCGACGGTTTATTTAACTTAAATTTTATATAACTTATATACACTGGACGATTATAGAAGGAAATCTATGGGTCTTTCTAGGGTTCATTATCGCATAACATAGAAGCATTCATTTCACTTAATAAAGAAAATATTGGATTTTCTGGAAACATACTTTGTCGCTTTTACAAGGAAAACGGTTTCTTTCTCAAACAAAACTCTTATGAACTCACCAACTTAATTGTTGACACTTTTTCAAAACTACTTGTATTATCAGGAAATCAGTGAAACAGGAAAACCAACAACATTTTGAGGATGGGACGATAAATCGTCAAACGCTTCATTTTGTCATCATAATGTAATTGATTTTGAAACATGTAAACTTATTCCATGGTGTAACCTTTTCAATTATATTTATGATGGTTGTATTTACTTTGAGCACTATTATATTCGTTGTTGTGATACTATACATGAAGTCCTCCACCCCCGGACGTTTCCGCCATCCTTAGTTTGGGGGTGTGACAGTGCCAATCTGGAAACAATATCTCGTTCGAAAGAGAAAGGATATCCGATTGCGATCTGAACCAGATAAACACCTCCCTCTCGGTTTTCCATGAATCGGGTTGTAGGAGACCGATTGGAGATCGAGTTGCAGGAGGCCAATTGGAAATCTACTTCAGGTATGATTAGGGCTACGAAAATCAAAGATGCAGATGATGGATATGAGACGGGAAGATGATGAAGGTGTCGATTGTTTGTTGTATGAAATTAGGTCAACGAAATAGAGAGGCAGAGAGTAATTATAGGAGTTTACAAAATTAGGGTAATGTTTATTTACCTTAATACCCTTTATAATTTTCTTTAATTTGAAATTTAATTTTTAAATGTATTAATAATTAGAAAAATAACAATTAATTATAGCCACACATCTTAAAAATTAGATGGTCCAGATCTATCTCGCCGTTCTCAACCTTTTAGGTGTTCTCATTTGATCCTACTCCTATATATATATATATATATAATCTATATATATATATATATATATATATAATATATATATATATATCTATATATATATATAGGGTGAGGTTCAATAGAGAACCATAATTAACCAATGAACCAAGGAACCAATCGTGAGCGTTGGAAATCATAACGATCAACGGCCAAGGAAATAGATGTACACTTTTACATTGGACGCGCACACAACGAATTATACCAAAAAATCCATCCTTTAAAAAAACCCACCACTTTTTTTCGTTTAAAATTTTTTTTAGGCCATGTTTTTTATCGAAAAAAAAACCGAATATACCGTTGTTTACGATTTTTCGTTCTCTTTCCATAGAGATCCATGATGATATATAAAAAACGAACTTTTTTTTTCGAAAAAAGTCCACTTCATTTTCTTTGATGAAAAATTTAAGGTCTATTTTTTTATAGAAAAAAAATTAATAAATATATCAAAATTCATTATTTTTGTACTTTTTAAAACATAGATTCATATTCAAGTTAAAAAAAAAAATTATTTCAGTTTAAATTCACATTGTGAACCTGTTCAGATTCATATTGTAAACCTATTCAGATTCACAATATGAACCTCCTTAGATTCACAGTGTGCATAATAAGAAGTCAGATTCACAGTGTGAATCTGAACTGATCGGATCTTTTTCACATTGTGAATGTTAAAATTTGAAATATTTACAGTTTAGATTCACCGTGTGAATCTACACTGATCGAGGTTTTTTTTTTGAACCTTCTCAGATTCACAGTGTGTATAATAGTAATTCAGATTCACAATGTGAATCTGAACTGTTCGAGATTTTTCATATTGTGAATGTTAAAAATTGAAATATTTACAGTTTAGATTCACAGTGTG